AAGAGAGAGAGAGAGAGAGGAGAGAGAGAGAGGAGAGAGAGAGAGAGAGAGAGGAGAGAGAGAGAGAGGAGAGAGAGAGAGAGAGAGAGAGAGAGAGGAGAGGGAGATAGAGATAGTAGATAGATAGATAGATAGATAGAGAGATAGAGGAGAGAGAAGAAAGAGAGAGAGAGAGATGAGAGAGAGAGAGAGAGAGAGAGAGAGAGAATCCTTGGAGTATTCAGTATGTTTATGATGAAATGACACTCAATCCAATATGACTTTATTTAATTTATTATTCTTGAGTAGTATAAAATTTGTACATTTACAATAAGCATCAAATAAGCTATGCACACTTACATGCCTTATATACACAGAATAAAGAAAAATTAAAGAAAATACAAAGAAGGAGAGAAAGTTAATTATTATAAACACAGAGAACAGAACAATGTTAAAAATAATATACTTATCAAAGTAAGGTTTCAAACTCATTATACCAAAAAGGAGAACATTCATAAAAGAGACTAGACCAGATTTAATTGTCGATGCATATAACATGTACACACAATTTCCGTTGTTCCAGAAAGGATTAAATCATCTTTATTCATTTCTTGTTTTCCTTTAATATTGTTTCACTTTTTCTTTTTGTTTCTAAGCCAAGGTATAACTTTGATATACTTTTTTTTATTTCCTTATAAATATGTGTTACTTTAATATGCTTTTATATCCGTACGAATATGTTACTTATACATTTATTCCGGTACGAATATGTTTTCACTCATTTTCATCTCAGTTATGAATGCCACTGGGTAGAAAAAAGTCTAAATGTAGATGATAGAATCACTGGGAAGTCTTTTTTTTCGATATAAACACTTAATGTCTCATGTGTGTATATATATCATACATATATGGTAAAGGAATAAAACAAAGAAGTGACTAGTACAACAAATACAGAATATGCTGCAGGATAAAGAAGGTAGGTCTGTTGGTTGATTTTTATGTAGGCAAAGACCAAACAATCTTTTAATTGAAAAGCCCTTTTGCGACTTTTTTTTTTGTTTTGGAAAGTTGTATTAATGATACTATGAAATGTTGAAGATTGATTTGAGATTTAAATTTCAATGTGTTTTTTTTTTCTCTTTTTAAGATTAACTTACATGGAAACTTAACAGAAGTTGAAGAATTTCAAAGCATTCAAGAATACTAACCAAAGAAAAATGTCTTTCTTTGTCACAGCTTTTAATTACTTCATGTTTATCGAAAAAAGATGAAAGCAAAGATAATTAAAAGAAAACAGTCGAAAAGGACTCTTTGTCTTATCAGATATTTAATCTCTCTCATGAGCACGTGAAAAAATATCAAATTATTTTTTTTATTATTATTATCATTATCTTTTGCTGCAATATACAAAAATCCTTCATAAATCACAAACACTAGAGAGTAGGAACGGCAGAACTTGCACATAAAAGGCCTTTCTGAAATCTTTTGATATCATTATATTCTAAAAAAAAAAAAAAGGACTTAGTGAGCATGAGTCACTTGTTGATCAGAACTTTCCTCTTCTTTTTTTTCTTTCCCTTTTTTTCCTCGTGAGAGAGAGAGAGAAGAAAAAAATTCATGACGGGAAGCCGCTGCCGGACCAATACATCGATTTATTTCCTCTTTTTTTCCCCTAGAATCTTCTTGGAGTAAAATAAGAGTAGGATTCCTCTTTTTGGAAGACTGACTTGTGTGTCTACGATGACGTCACGCTGGTTGGGAATCGACCCCATGTCCGTAACGAAGTAGGAATAACGAAAGCTTGATATGCAGAGTTCATAGGAGGGTTTGGGGGGGGGGGGGAGTTGAAAGAGCAAGAGGCATCACATAAAATCAATGGTTATATAGGTCTTTCACACATAAAATCTTTACATTTTTTTAAAAAACTTTGTGTTGGTCTTTTATGGAATACATCGAAGTCTTTGGGGAAATCATATATATATATTATTATATTTCTTTCCTGTGTGGTATTCATCTTGCTAAAAGCCCTCCGATCTTACTTCTCTTTCTCTGTCTCCTTGAAGTCCCTTTACCATTCTATTTTCTTATCTCTGCAACTTCTTTTGGTTCCTTATCTCCACACTCCACACCTTCACCCAGGGACGTCGAAGCACACTGTGTAACGTCTTCGGAGAGTCACGTGACCTAAGCCACGCCCCCAACCACCAGTCACTGCGAAAACACCGCGTCACTTCGTTCCTTCACTTCTGTCACAGCCGTACAACCAGTTTCAGATACGCGTCCATTCATAATATATACTGTACATGTATATAAGTGTTTAGTTGTTCATTTTCTGTAATTGTGGTCGTTTGCATGTGTGTGTGTGTGTGTGTGTGTGTGTGTGTGTGTGTGTGTGTGTGTGTGTGTGTGTGTGTGTGTGTGTGTGTGGTGTTGTGTGTGTGTGTGTGTGTGTGTGTGTGTGTGTGTTTAGTATGCCAGCTCGACCGTTCCCGTGGCCACATCTTAAGACTGAAATAATTTGTCAGAAAAAAAAGATACGAAAGGAAACTCGTCTACAGCGGCCACTCTACTAGAGCGTCGGGCTCTCGGCTCGCCCCTCCGCCTCCTGGACGACATTCGGGACCGGAGACTGGCTGGGCGTGCGGCCGTTGTGGGCGGGCGTCGAGTGGTTCTGGGGAAGGGCGTTGTTCTGCGTGGGCGCCGGCGAGTTGCTCTGCGAGTGGTTGTGGTTGGCGGCGGGGGAGGCGCTGACGGCGGGCGAGTGGTTGACGGCAGGCGAGTGGTTGAGTGCGGGCGAGCTGTTCAGCGTGCCCTTGCGGATCTGGCCCGCCTCGAGCACCTCCTGCGAGCCGGCGATGTCGGTCATCTCGTCGATGGTGGCGATGGTGGCGTCGGCGGCCTTGGTCGGCGTCTTCGTGGCCGGGCCGTTGTTGTTCTTGCTGTCCCTCGCCTTCATCAGCTTCTCCTTCTTCTCGGGGTCGTCCTCGTACGTGTAGTAGAAGGCGGAGTGGCGGTTGTACAGGACGACGGCGACGACGATGAGGGCGAGCAGCAGCAGCACGACCACGCAGCCGACCACGATGAACAGGTACAGCTCCTCCTCGAACAGGCGCTGCAGGGACCAGCCGCCCTCGGCGTCCTCCTGCCGGCTAAGCTCTCCGCGAGGGAACTCCGGCTCGTCCGTGACGACGCTGTAGGAGGGCTCGACCCACGTGGGCCAGACGGCGGCCGCGGGGGGCGTGGTGAAGGGGCAGGGCGGCAGGTCCCCGGGGGGCAGGAGGGCGAGCTGCAGGCCGGCCACGCTCCGCGGGCTGACGCACTTGAGGCAGGTCCACACCCGCGGCTCGTCGCAGCCGGACTCCTGGTCGGGCGCGTCCTGCAGCCAGCGCAGCAGCGGCCCCACGTGGCACTGGTCGCACTGCCACGGGTTGCCCTCCAGCCGCAGCGTGCGCAGCTCGGAGGCGGCCGTGATGGACTCCACCAGCTGCTCCTCCAGGCCGCGGAAGCTGTTGAGCGAGAGGTCGAGCGTGTACAGGTGCGGGGCGTTGTACAGCACCTCGGTGGAGAGCGCCGTCAGGTAGTTGGCCGACAGGTTGAGGTGGTGGAGGTGGCGCGAGTGGCGCAGCAGCTCGGCCGGCAGCTGGGTGTGGCCCATGTCGCCCAGGCCGAGGGAGCGCAGCTGGCGCGCATTGGGCAGCACGCTCATCAGTTGGTCCACGTGCAGCGAGTTGCCCGACAGCTTGATCTCGTGCAGCTGGTCGAGGATGTCCTCGAGGGCGCCGGCCTCCAGGTGCGAGATGCGGTTGTAGGACAGGTCGAGGTGCTTGATGGAGCTGTTGGAGAAGGCGTCGACCTCGAGGCGGCTGATGCGGTTGTGCGCCAGGTGGAGGCTGACGAGCGGCGAGCCGGAGATGGCGCCGCGCTCCACGAAGGACAGGTGGTTGCCGTCCAGCTTGAGGCTGACCAGGTTGGGCAGGGCGGCGGACGCCACGCCGAGCGGGATCTGCGTCAGGCGGTTGTTGCGCAGGTCCAGCTCCCGCAGCTGCGACAGCGACTGCAGGAGGGTGCTGCTGATGGACATGAGGCTGCAGCCGGCGCAGGACAGCTGCCGCAGGTCGGGCACGTCGGTGAACCTCTCGGGCTGGAGGTCGCCGAGGGGATTGTAGCTCAGGTCCAGCTTCTCCAGCTTGGTGAGGCCGAAGAAGATGCGAGGCACGAGCTCCGGCACCATGTTGTGCGCCAGCGACAGCGTGCGCAGGTGGCGCACGTGGCGGAACACGGCGGAGGGCACGCTCTGGATGCGGTTGTGGCTCAGGTCGAGGTGCCGCAGGGCGTCGGCGCCGCGGAAGTTGGTGTCCATGAGGGCGGAGATGTGGTTGTTGGTGAAGTTGAGGACGTGCAGGCGGTGGAGGCCCCAGAAGGAGTGCGCGCCCAGGGCCGGCACCCCCGACCACGTGATGTGGATCTCCTCCAGGTGGCGCAGCCCGCGGAAGATGGGCCCCAGCGACAGGGCGTTGGGCTTCTCCTTGGGCGCCGCGATCACCAGCAGCTCGGTGTCGGCGCCCATGTCCAGCACGGGCACCGGGTCGCGCATGCCGCCGCCCTCGCACCGCACGCCGCGCCGCCCACGCTCGTCCAGGGAGCAGCGGCACTCGCGCGGACACGCCCACACGGCGCACAGACACGCCCACAGCACCAGCAGGGAGACTGCCATCTGGAAACGCAAAAGGAAAACGCGTCAGAACATGGCAAAGGCAACAAACTTATATTGCTTAATCTGCATATAAACTAGAAAAACATCAGACCCTTTATGACGATTTCAAATACAAAATGAAGTCTCTCTCTCTCTTTCTTTTTTTTTTTTTTTTTTTTTTTTTTCTCTCTCTCTCCCTTGCTCTCTATCACCCTCCCTCCTTCCATCCTTCTTCCCCTCCCTTCCCTCCCTTCCACCCTCCCACCAAGACCTTCCCCACGTCCTCACAGCCTACCCCCCCGACCTCTCAACCCCTGTATGAGGACGCCCCTAACGGCACCCACACCTCATCCTCGAACCCCACCCCATCCTCGAACTCCACCTCATCCTCGAACTCCACCTCATCCTCGAACTCGACCTCATCCTCGAACTCCACCTCATCCTCGAACTCCACCTCATCC